CTAACGTTTTTTACATCTGAAAACATCCAAAAACGTTTGTTTCTAACATCAGGAAACATCTACATTAGAAAACATCAGAAAACGTTTACATTTAAAAACATCCGAACAACGTTTAGTTCTAACGTTTTGTACATCTGAAAACATCCTTAAAACGTTTGGTTTTTTTGAAATTTTTGACGTCAGACCGACATTAGAATGGCAAAATTTTGTTCCAAAATTTCTGATGTATACACCATGTTACGTTACTTAAATACAACTAAATCATAATGTTTCCTAATGTTTGACATCAGGCATACATTTGATTTCGATGCTGATGTAGACATCAAAATCAAACGTTGGGCTAATGTAAATTTCTATTCGGGATAACACTGAATGTCAGCCCTTCACAGCATAATCCTCATCGTGTATGCTTCTCCGACTTCGGTAATTCAGTTAGTTTTGATTTATCTATGACGCGGGAGATTCGTGGGATCCCAGAACATCATCGTTCCATGATTGTTCCGTCAATTTACGCTGCAAAGTTTGGCCAAGTTGATTCCGCAAGATCGTTCTTCAGAGATGGATCACTAATAGAGTCGTCCGCTGGTTTTGGTATTTTTAACGAATTTCATAGCGCCTCTCGAATGCTTCAAGCTCCTTGTTCCGTATATGTTGCTGAGCTGACGGCAATTTACTATACGCTAGAAACGATCGCCTCACTTCCACCAGATCACTATTTTATTTTTACGGATAGTCTCAGTTCTGTCGAGGCTATTCGCTCCATGAGGCCGGTAAAGCACTCCTCGTATTTTCTCATGAAAATACGAGAGCTTTTAAGTGCTTTATCTTTAAGATCATCACCTTTGCATGGGTCCCATCTCATTGCTCGATTCCGGGCAATGAGATGGCGGACTCACTTGCTCACGGACAGAAAATTGTTTGCATTGAACCAAACAAAACTTTAGTTGTATTTAAACAAACAATTCCGGTTGAAATTATATTGCATTTTGTTGTTTCAATAATACTTATTCATATAAATTCAAAGTAGGATTCTTTTTGTTTTAATAAGCCACTTTTCAACTGCAACTATTGTAAAAATAACTATATTCTATTATTAATCCAACAATAGTTCATTTTAATTTAGCATTTATTTGCTGTGTCCATTCCCCGGGCCATGAATGCAAAAATAACTACCAACCATTCCCTCGTTTTCACCCGGACAAAAGTGTAAACAATAACAAAACTTGTGAATTTCGGGAAATAAGTGCAAAATTTCCGAAAATCTTGAGACTTGAGGTAAGTAAGTATGCTGCAGTTCAAGCTGCAGTTGCTAAATATAATCAATTTTCTGTTTTTTTCCTTGATTTTTTTTTCGTCGATCTTGTTTTCCGTACTGAGTACCAATGCTCCTGACGCCAGGAAGGCAGCTCCCACACCTGGACCCTACATATCGACCCATCAACTAATTAACCGGGGACCAACGGCTTTACTTCCCTTCCGAAGGATGATCAGTGAAAAAGATAACAAAACATAAAAAAATGCCATATTATTTCCGGAGTGATTTGAGATTTGGGCGTACTTGCATTTGTAAACAAATACGTCAATCACCGATTTCTCGCGAATAAAAGCTCAATCTCGAAAAGTATTAACACTATGCGGTAGAGGAATGATTCCTCTATCATTTGGTATAGTTTGTTTGTGAGATTGAGCTTTTATTCAAAAGAAATCAGTGATTGACGTGTTTGTTTTCAAAAGCAATTACACCCAAATCTCAAATCACCCCGGATTTTTGAATCAATAAACATATTTTTATTTCTACTGCGTGAATTTTCAGACTTCATAAAATAAATATGATTGAATCAACAAGAAATCTCTTTTAAAAACAAACATATTTTTATTGTTGACCCAGCTGCCAAATTTGACAGCTTACGTCAAAACCATGAAAGCTCTTGTAAATTCGAAAAGATTTTCTTTTTGATTTAACAATCCATGGGTTTTGAGGAACAAAAATACTGGATTGTTGAAACAATAATGATTTCTTTTTGCAGCCAAAACAAAATGAAATTCTTATTGATTTTACGTCAAATATTATTACGTTTAAAATATTTTTTTCTGCGTGTAAGGTGGGCGCTATGGAAGGCGATATTTACGATCGACAAATCGCCTACTGTAGTATCGAGCATTTAATATTTCCCTGTTGTACACTAATGTGGAAAAGTAGCACCTTTAATATACATCTTGACAGTATGATACCTGATATGAAAATACTTTGCACCGAGAAAGAGTGAATAAAAGAAGCAGTTATATTCCGTCTAACACCGCGTTCAGAGGTCTGTTATCCGAAGCTCCCCGCTTAAAGTTTAGAGTCTACATTTGGCGCCGAGGAAAATTTTTCGATTGATTTTGTGTCGCTGCACGTGTTATTTGGAGGAAAAATCAATTCTAATAGTGAGTATACCAAAATACAGTTTTGGAAATTAGGAGTCAATGTGCAATTCCTTTTAAATTAAAAATAAAATTTGAGCGGTGAAACGAAATGGAGCGTAGTCATGGATGCTCGCTTGCAAAAATTTGTGAAGTGATTTCGAATCAGTCATTAGTGCATCAAGAAGACGGAAAAAAAGATGGTCATTAAAATTTCATTCTAAAATGGTGGAATAGTTCTGAAGAATCGAAAAACAAAATGGTGGGATGCTGAGTTGATGACGATTCTCAATGATGAAACAGGTTAGAACGGGTAAGGCAAGATGGGGAGTTTTTTTTACCAAGCACTGTGCGTGTTGGTAGTTGTGTTGGAATTCTCATCACAAGAAGTGTTCGAAGCGAATTTATTCCCAGTGGAGTAGTGTGTGTGTGTGTTTAGAGATTGTAACAGATCAAGTGAGGAACAGTGAGCAATTATACCATTGAAGCGAAACGGATGAAGCATGGAATAATGATGGTGACAAGGTGTTAGTGAGTAGAGAACGGTCTTACATGGATGAAGGAAATAAGACAAAAGTGGATGTAGTAGTGAATACTGGATTATTGCAAACAACGAAAAATGCAAGGATTGTGGTGGTGGTGTTAAAGGTGTACTACCGTTTAAAAATGTTGTGCAATACCGGCAACGGTATGGCAATGAGGTATGCATTCAGCATATAATCATCATTCTTCTTGCCAGATTCAGCAATCATAAGGAAAGGCGTACTGTAAGTAGAATGCATTTTTTATATACGATGACAACTATGTTTATCTGTGAGTACGTAAGATAATCAACATTATACAAAGGAAATTAATTGTGGTGATTTCTGGAAGGCAAACATAAATGGTTGCCAGACTTACTAATGAATACAGTGTCTATTTAAAGATGGTATACTCTGGAAAGGATTGTATACCTGATTTACACACCTATTGTTATTTAAGTTTTAATTATTTTAACGTTTATACAATGAACAAAATACCTTATTTACAGTTGATTTCACAAGATTCGAAAAAAGGCTAGATGCTGGATTAGATGAGTAAAATGGTTTTCTACTAGGTTGTAGTGAAATGAAATGTAAACTGGATTCATTATAACGTTATTGTGTACATGGACTGAGTCCTGGATTAAAAGTATGTGTTGATTATGTAATGAAATGGGTTGAAAACCGGATTCATTACAATTCTGGAATATGAAGCTAGAAATTAGCAACAATGGAGAGTGGATGACATGGTGAGATAGCATTGACTTGACATTGATACATACTAGGTACATGGAACATATACATGTACGTACTATTTTTCGGATATGTGATGAAATGGACTGAACAGTTGAATAATGAAAAAAATAACGATCAATTTGTTATGGGAGTAATGCGTAGTGAAATGGGTTGAAAACCGGATTCATTACAATGCTAGTAAATGAGAATAATAATAATGACAAAATAGTAATGAAAGTGAATGCCATTGCGTACGAAACATGAAGTTAAGTGATGAAATGGGCTGAATGCCGGATTCATTCACAGTAAAAACTAGTTTTGTTTGTTACTAGTCTGTGTGAAATGGGTTGAAAACCGGATTCACTGTATTTTGGACATTGGCTGCTGTTGTGAGCAGTGGTGGCACGAGTCCTGGAGTTTAACATTTTTTCCTTAACATTTGATACATTTTGCGATAACCATTGTGACGACACACAAAAACAAACTGGCAAGCGGCAAAAATGTCATGACATTTCTAAACTGTTTTCTGCCAGCGACAGAACATTTTCGCACAAAGAAGCAGACAAGACCGGCGGCGCGCGCGACATAAATTTATGTCGTGTAGAATTTTGCTGATTTCTGGCTAATTACTGCATTTATTTGATGTTTATTGCATGGAATTAAAAGATAAGAATGAAGACTGACCACTCATAAGCATAAATGTTAAAATTATGCGTAAATAAGGGAGTTGGTAATTTACTGTCACACGCAAGCCTGCAGCTGAAATTTCATTACAATAAACTGTTTGGAAAAATCAGGCTGCGAGATTTTATTTATTCTCTATCTCCGCTGTTCGCTTGGAATGTAGTTATAGACGGTCGCCCGTGTGCTGGCTGTTTTGTTTCGCTCTGGACGATGGTTTTTCAAAAAATGTACTGTTGCCACCTCTGGTTGTGAGTGTATGCAGCAGTGTTACGATAACAATCAAATTGTCTTTAAAGAGCCCATGAGGGGAGGAGTAAATATTGTAGAACCGGTTTGCCAGATTCCAATAATAAAAACAATAAAAAAAAATGTCAGTGAAATAACTGAATGTTGATTTCAATGAATTTTGTTCCAGTATATTTTATTGAATAAGGGTTCAACCGAGTTAAAGATGAGTGCGCGTTTTTGAGAAACTCTGTGTAGCCGGTAAACTATATTGAGCAACTGGTTTGGTACTATATTAATACATGACTCAGATTGCGAATATGCACCATGATGCTCAAAATATGCGAGTAAAAAGTCTAAAAAAAAAAGGAAATGGACATTCAAAGTTAGTGAAAACATAGACATAAATCAATCAATCTTTCCTTGTAGATGATGGATTCAGCCCGCCCCATCAAACCTTTCGATGCAAAGGTGGAACATTTAGCAGTGGAGTGGAGAAAGTGGAAGAGAAGTCTTGAATACTACTTGGAGGCAAGTAATGTTGTTGGACAAAGGGAGAGAAGAAATCAGTTGTTACACTTGGGTGGCCCTGAACTTCAGGATATATTTGACAGTCTGCCTGGTGTACATGATGTTCCACATGTGGCTGTTGATCCACCGTTTTACGACGTTGCAATCGAGAAATTGGACGCTCATTTTCAGCCAATCCAACGACGAACCTATGAACGACATGTTTTTCGTCAAATTGCGCAACAAAACGGGGAACGTTTTAATGATTTCGTTATGAAATTGCGTATGCAAGCAAATCGATGTGATTTCGACCAAGAAGGTGGAAGCGTTCGAGATAGTATGATCATCGACCAAATCGCGGAAAAATGTTTGTCTTCTGCTCTACGCAAGAAGATACTGGAGAAAGATAGACCTCTAAGCGAAGTTGTAGCGATTGGGAAAACTATTGAGGACGTTGAAATACAATGTAAAGAACTAGTTTCTTCGAATAAAGAACCAAATGGTGTTAACAAAGTAGCCTTGCAGCAGTATTCAAGTCCAACGTCTTTCCGCGGTCAACAGTGTTGGTCTTTTTTGCCACCAACAGAATTGCGTAACCAGTATGCTCGTAATCAGTGGCGACCCTTGAATTTCGGAAACAGGAGTGAGACCCCTGGGCAATCGAGACAAACAAACCGTTTCTCAACAAGGCCGAAAGAAAGATCAGCGGATGCGTTCCAGCAACGTAACGATCAAGACCACAGAATCTGTTTTGGATGTGGTCGTCGTGGACATGCCAAAGGAAGTGACGGATGTCCAGCACGACAGGCTCAATGTCTGAGGTGCAAGTGGACGGGACACCTCGCTAAATGGTGCACAAAGAGATCCGAAGCAGATTACAACAATGCACCACCTGCAAAGCGAATCAAATCAGTATACGGAGCAGAAAAGCAACAGGATTCGGAGAAGAAGGATGAAGAGATTTGCTATGTTATGGGACAAAATACGTTCAAATTCAGAGTCGGAGGTGTTGAGATTCCCATGGCTATTGATTCAGGAGCTGCAGCAAACATGGTTGATGAGATTACATGGAATAGACTACAATCATCAGGGGCAAAAGTGCGCTTTCAACCAGTAGTCGATCGATCGTTCAAAGCATATGGGTCCGAACAGCCTCTGAAAATGGCAGGGAAGTTCACCGCAGAAATTCAAGCAGGAAAGAATAAAACGCATGCTGTGTTCTACATAGCAAAGAATGGCAGACAATGTTTGTTGGGTGACGAAACGGCAAAAATGCTAAACGTTTTAAAGATTGGGTACAATATAGGTTCAGTCCAGTCGAGCGTTTTTCCTAAGATAAAAGGCATTGTTGTAGAAATACCGATCGATCCATCTGTGAAACCTACGCAACAACCATACAGGCGTGTACCATTTGCTTTGGAGCCCAAAATAGCTGAGAAGCTGCAGTACTTATTGAATCAAGACATAATCGAACGTGTGAACGAGCCATCCGCGTGGGTATCGCCAATCGTACCCATCGTCAAGGATTCAGGAGAAGTTCGTCTATGTGTGGATATGAGACGGGCTAATACAGCTGTATTGAGGGAGACGCATCCATTACCAATTGTCGAGGAATTATTCAGTGGAATAGATGGAGCTGTTTGTTTCTCGAAGCTGGATATCAAAGAGGCCTACCACCAGGTGGAAATATCTGAGCGGTCCAGGGAGATAACGACTTTCATAACCAAACAGGGCCTTTTCAGGTAAAATTCTGTAAAGATATTGTTTTGTTTTGACAGATGCAATAAAGACAACAATTCTTCTTAAATTCTTTTGACTAAAAACAATTATTCTTAACTAAAATCTAGGTATAAAAGATTGATGTTCGGAATTAGTTGCGCTCCTGAGGTTTTTCAGAAGGTCATGGAATCGATTTTAGCTGGATTAGATGGTGTGATAGTCTACCTGGATGATGTGTTGATATCAGGAAAATCTCAACAGGAGCATGATCTCAGATTGGAACAAACGCTTAACCGTTTAAAACAGTATGGAATTCTACTAAATGAGTCAAAATGCGTGCGAAATGTGTCTCGGTTGGAATTTTTAGGGCACGAACTCTCAAAAGATGGTATCCGTCCAACTGAGAGCAAAATGGCTGCTATACAATGTTTTCGTGAACCAAACAATGTCTCTGAACTTAGAAGTTTTCTTGGACTGATAACATACATTGGCCGGTTCATTCCTCAGCTGTCGGAAAGAACAGATCCACTGAGAAAATTATTGCGTACAGGAGAGCATTATAAGTGGAAGCCAGAACACCAAAAATCGTTCGAGGAAATCAAGGCTGCAGTGTGTCACACCAAGTTTCTGGGTTATTTCAATCCTATGGACATGTGCATTATTATTGCTGATGCAAGTCCTGTAGGACTCGGAGCAGTATTGCTACAAGAAGATGCATCAGGGCACATCAAGATAATTTCTTTCGCAAGTAAAGCTCTTTCTGACGTTGAAAAGAAATATTTCCACACTGAAAAGGAAGCTTTGGCACTAGTTTAAGCAGTGGACAAGTTTCAACTTTATTTGCTTGGAAAACATTTCAAACTAATAACTGATTGTAAACCACTTCAGTTTTTGTTTAGAGAACGAACAAAACCTAATGCTAGAATAGAACGATGGGTGCTTAGGTTACAGGCGTATTCTTTCGAAGTAGTATATGAACCAGGTACAGGTAACATAGCAGACGCTATTTCAAGGTTTTCAGTATCCAATCCTACCGATTTTGATGTAGTGGGGGAAAATTGCATATATCAGTTAGTACTAGCCGTTATACCGAAAGCTGTTACACTGCAGGAAATAGAAGAGGAAACTTTGAAAGACGAGATCATTCAACAAGTGATTCGGAACCTTGAATCTGGAACATGGTGTGAAAGAACGAAGAATTTCAAAATATTCAGAACGGAACTTTGCAAATTTGGAAATTTATTATTGCGAGGAGATAGATTAGTAGTTCCTGAAAAATTGCACAACCAGATCCTCGAACTAGCACATGAATCACATCCTGGAATGGTGGCAATGAAAAGGAGGCTGCGACAAAAAGTGTGGTGGCCACAGATGGACAAACAAGTTGAATTGTTTGTAAAAAAAATGCAAAGCGTGTACGTTGGTTTCGTCTCCTGAGCCACCAGAACCGTTGAACCGAACTAAAATGCCGGAACAGCCTTGGACACATATAGCAGCCGATTTCTTAGGACCACTACCTTCAGGCCACAATTTGTTTGTATTGATCGATTATTACAGTCGATTCACTGAAATTGTAATAATGAAGCAAATAACAGCAAGTCTAACAGTACGTGCTTTACATGAAACATTTTGCCGTTTCGGAATGCCTGAGTTCCTCAGAACGGACAATGGACCACAATTCATCAGTTTCGAGTTGCAACAATTTTGTGAGCAATTTGGAATTCAACAGGAGAAAACGACGCCATACTGGCCCCAAGCAAATGGGGAGGTGGAACGGATTAATCGTTCGATCGGCAAACGTCTCAAAATAAGCCAAGAAACTGAGGGGTCTGATTGGCAATGGGACTTGAGGATGTTCATACTCATGCACAATTCAACGCCACATTCCACAACCGGGGTAGCTCCCTCTAGTTTGATGTTCGGTAGGATACTGAAGGACAAACTTCCAGGTCTATTGGTTAAAAGTAATAAGGTGCTTGAGGAAATCTACGATCATGATCATGAGAAAAAAATGAAAGGTGCGGAGTATGCGGATGAACGCCGGAATGCTCAGCCTAATACAATTGACATCGGCGATACTGTGGTGACAAAAAGAATTCAGAAAGAGAATAAGTTGTCAACACCATTCAATCCGGAAGAGTTCTCTGTCATTGAACGAAGGGGATCAGAAGCTGTCATACAGTCGAAAGACTCGAACCGTATTATCCATAGAAATGTGTCACATCTAAAGAAACTAGTTACTGGAAATGGGCTAAACTCCTCAAGTGAGAAGAGCGTAGAACCGGATAATTCTTTGGATACGAATAGTAAAACCAAGGACCACTCTTGTGCCGAGACTTCCACAGCAACGGAAACGTCTGACCGACCTCGTCGAGGAACAAGGTTGCCTGATTACTTAGAAGATTATAAAGTTAATGAAGTTCATGAAAACTATAAGGAATAGGAGGGATGTAGTATCGAGCATTTAATATTTCCCTGTTGTACACTAATGTGGAAAAGTAGCACCTTTAATATACATCTTGACAGTATGATACCTGATATGAAAATACTTTGTACCGAGAAAGAGTGAATAAAAGAAGCAGTTATATTCCGTCTAACACCGCGTTCAGAGGTCTGTTATCCGAAGCTCCCGCTTAAAGTTTAGAGTCTACACCTACGATGAATTTTTCTTCATTTATCGTCAACAGTCACTCGTCAGCTGGCAGAATAAGTGGAGTGAAGGGAGTTTGGGACGATGGCTATATTCGATCATCCCTAAGGTGTCGAAGAGTCCTTGGTTCAAGGGGTTGGATGTGGGTCGAGACTTCATTCGTATGATGTCTCGCCTCATGTCCAATCACTATTTGTTAAACGCTCACTTGTTACCTCTATGCTTGCTCCGTTTTGGGCTGGGGGACAGCAATCTCTGTGAATGTGGACAAGTTTACCAAGACGCCGATCATATTATTTGGTCTTGTGCTGAGCATCGTGGAGTCAGATCGGAGCTGTACGATTCCCTTCGGGCTCGAGGTAGACAACCGGCGAGGCGATCTGGGGTTTATGAAACTCATATATGTTTACTTTAAGAATATTAACATTAGATTGTAAGTTTGATTAACCTTGTGTTTAGTTTGTATTTTGTACGTGTTTTAGGATTAATTAAATATTTGTATCGTAAACCACATTTCAAACCTCCCTCTCCTTTTTCCCATTCAAAAAAAATTGTAAATCTCCACTAACCTCGAGACAACCGCGAGTATCTGGTCCAGCTCCTTTAACTTATATATAATATAAGACATCAATAATGTATAACGAAAATGATAACTCGGCTCTAATGCATGAATTGTGGTGATTCCTCTCACGCAAAGGACGACTGTCCTGTGAAGGAAGATCCTAAGAAATTTAAATGTTCAAATTGTGGTGAAAACCACAAATCCAATTTTTGGGAATGTAAGACTCGCAAAGCGATCCTACAATCTCGTTCTAACCGTCAGGTAGGAAACGCTCCACGTTTCCGACCAGGTACAAATTCCTCTGCTGTTAACAACGGTCAGCGAGGAACAAATTCTACATTCGTACCCGTAGGTACAAATATCTCCCCTGCTTCAAATGTTTCATCTGTACCTACTCCCCTCGCTGCTAACAATGTTCAGCGAGTTAATGGAGCTACCTACACACTACTTTTATTTCGATGGAAACCAGTAAAATTTTGCTGGATTTTGCCGAGCTGGAAATCCAGCAATTCTTCCAGCAAAAAAATATTGCTGGATAACCAGCAAAATAATCTGACATAAAAATGACAGCACTTTACTGTAGAACCAGCAAAATTTGCTGGTTGTTCAGTAATACAAAATAGGAATTTATTATGCTGTATGATCAGCAAAATTAGTGAAGTATTATTTTGAGAAAAAATCAAAGATTTTATTTAATTCAAGCTTAATTTATTTCATACTTTAGCATCATAACTGTATTTCAAATTATGTAGCGATAAATTCAGTGAAAATGAAGAAATACTATCAAAAACGATCAAAAACGCCGACTAATTATCCACTTCCTCCTGCAAATAAATAAAAAAAGACGTCACATTACAGATGCACTGTTATAACGGATATTTGTATGCAAATGTACCTTTAATTATGATTTTAAATCACATTCAATAGCAAAACACATTGAAAACTAGTATAAAACAATCAAAATATATCAACTTGCGATCAGGCATGCGAAAAGAATCCACTTACGAAATTGCAATCTATTTGACAGTTCCCGTATTTTACTGATCATCCAGCAAACAAACATGTTTGCTGGATTCACAGTAAATCTTAATTTTGCTGGACTCTGTTCAGCAATTCGTTTTGCTGGAAGGCTGATTCAAAATTTGGTGTGTATGCTGCTATTGCAGCGGGTAGAAATCAAAATACTAACCACCGTTCTAACGGAAATTTTGACAATTTTGACTTAGGAAGCATTACTGCCCCTAAAATGGAATTTTTACAGAAATCATTAATTGACATGATTTCTGATATGCTTAAATCTAACTCCATGTTTGATGCTATTCAAACTGGAGTAAAATTTGCAAATAATATTGTCATGACTTTAAAATTCAGTAATGGATTTTAAAGCATTAAATATTGTAAATTGGAATGCTCGATCTCTTAAAGATAATGAAGACGAGCTATTTAACTTTTTGAGAGTTCATAACGTGCATATTGCCGTTATAACTGAAACGTTCCTTAAACCTACCCATAAGGTTAAGAAGGACGCAAATTACTTGATTTATAGAAATGATCGTCTTGATGGACCCTGTGGTGGCGTTGCCATCATTATTCATAGACGAATCAAACATAAAATTCTTTCTTCATTTGAAACCAAAGTTTTTTAAACTTTGGGAGTTTCTGTTGAAACAAAATTTGGACAACTTACGTTTATAGCTGCCTATTTGCCATTCCAATGCGTAGGCCAGCAAAAGAATTTTCTCAAGGGTGACCTCCAGAAACTTACCCGTCATAGGTCTAAATTCTTCATTATTGGTGATTTTAATGCAAAACACC